CTTCCTTATGCCGGAAAATGGGATCCAGGGGAAGAAGACGTGGGGTCCTCTCCTGGGCTCCATGGCCTGGGAAAGGCCCCGCCCGCCAGCTCACCCGGGGATGCTCTGCCTCTCTTGGAGTTCCCGCGGCTGTCCCTGGTTCTGGTCCATCACCGCCTCTTCCTTATTTGGCCCTGGTTCCCCATGAGGAAATTGAGCTAGAGGACAGTGCTTCTGCCCAGTTCTTTTCGTCCTCAGCCTTCTGTCCGGTTGAAACACAGATTTCCACAGTTTCCTAGGTGGGCTCCTTTAGCCCGCCTGTTTCCATGGGCCTATCTCCTGAGGTTTCAATTCACTTGGATTCGCTGTGTGGTCTGCATTCCTTCCTGAGATCCCTGGAATCCCGTTCTGTTCTTCTTTACTTGCCTACAGCCTCCCATGTGAGAAAGTGACTCTTCACACCCATCTGTCGTGTGACTTTTTCTCTGGGTGTTGTATCCCCCTCTCCCTCTACCTGTGGGTGATGGTGGCAGGACCTCCCTGGTGCCGTGCCTACTCTGATGGGCGCTGGGCAGTGCCTGACCTGAGCGGGCTTCTCAGGACAGCCCTGTGACCTGGATGCTCCTCACGGCGTGAGGACAGGGAGGCACCAAGATATGTGGGAACCTGGCCAGGTTCTCACACAGCTGGTTCTGGGAGAGCTGGGTCCAGCCCAGGGAGACTGGCTTTGCAGGCCGTGCGCGCACCTCTGTTTAAGTTGTGGGTGGGACATGGAGAGTGTGCGGCCCACGTCTGTGCCCTGCGCCCATAACTGGTGCTGTTACTCACCAGGGCACCCTTCTGCCCAGCGGGGGCGGGCGGTGACATGTAGTGGTGTCTGCTCGTCTTCATGAATCCCCCGAATGGGGCGCAGGCAGCAGCCCCGTGTGCCTGCCTCCTTGGACGCCTTGCTCCCGGTCTGCTGCTCGTGGGGGTGTTTTCTGTGAAGCTCTTCAGGCATATGACCTACTTCCCTTTGGTAATTTTATCTCTTACCAAGAGTTAACATCTCTAAGTTTAAGTTCTCCTAATCCTAACCTACAAAATCTTATTTACCATTAATTTACTTTTGAATTTATTAAAACAGTGGTTTTTAACTTAAAAAAGATAAATAGGTAAGTGAGACTATATTACTATATTACCTATATTACTTTGAGCTGCCCTCAAAAGTGTTTTAAATATAAAAGCACTATTAAAGATTGGTGATTTTTCAAACTTGGCAATTTTCTTTAGGGAAGGGCATTGAGAGTATTGCAGTTGTAGTACTTAAGTGTTGTTGAGTTTGGATTTCACCTTCCTCAGTTGAGTCTTCAGTTAGGAGTCAAAGTTCATACAATTAGTTGAGAAGGATAAGTAGTACACATAATTTATAATTTTCTTTAGATAAGTAGAAGCATAACTCAGCAACTGAGTAGATGGCAAATGCCTTGATGCAGCAAATCCTTTAGGAATGAAAAACCTGTTAAAGAAGGGCATCAAGGGCACCGAAAATGCCTAGGGAACCTTTTTCTTTCCTTCTTTTTTTTTTTTTAAATTCCTCAGCTGAGTAAGGAGGGGCGGGAATGTTACCTTAGGTAATAAAGGCCCCTCACAAGTGGCTGAGGGCTGGACCTGATAGACAAGAATGAGATTCCTGGGCTGTGTGGCCTAGTCACTGCAGGTGGAGGTGTGTCTTTGGTGTCTAAACCGGAGGACAGGGGCGGAGTAGGTCTGCTCCTGGGCCCGCTGCTATGGACCCTGAGGACATGGGGCCAGAACCTGTCTTCTGTTCATTCATGTAGTACTAAGACTATACCTCAGATCCCTTCTGTGTCTCATGTGGCAGAAAGCCTAATCCAAAACAATTGCGGTTTGGTTGATTCATAAAATAGACTCTGAACTATGTATAATCTTACTTTAGTTTCTTTAATCTCTGTATTTGTAGTCCTGACAGGCTGTATGACATTGTATTAAGGTGTGGATGGTCCCCTGCCATACCCTGGTTTGTCTTTTGAATTAAAGCATATAACTTGTTTTGGTTTCATTGTATACAGGTGGACTTGAGCTATATCTGCTTTGAATAAGAGAAGCTGTTTTTTTTTTCTGGAATAAAAATCATATTTGTGTCATTTCATCTATGAGACTAAACAGATCTTTTGAGTGAGAAATTTAAAAACTGGATTTCTCCCACATCCCCATCCATTTAGTAGCAAGTCATTTTAGTGAAATTTCCTTTCTGCTAATCCACGAGTACTCCGAGCGCTATCTTAGTTCTTACTGGGCTGAGATGTGGTGGGAGGGAGTCAGAAGGACTCATTTGTCTGCTTTCAGGGTGGGAAGGGGCTGGGGGAGCTCGAATTTGAGGGCTTGAAGGCTTCTGCCTGCCGGCCTAGAGGTGGGTGGGCCTGCCGGGATTGGGTGTCTGCAGCCAGCTGTGGGGGGTGCTGGTACCCAGTTTGTTTGGATGAGGTGTCTCAGGCAGGAGCAGCTTCCTTAAGGGAATCCTGGAGGCTCCGGGTTTTACGCTCAGGATCTCTTCATTTGCTGTGGGGCAGGAGGACCACAGGGCCCTGACCGCCCCTGAGACTCGGCTTCTCCCAGGTTTCTCATGATGGGGTGTCTCCCCCTCCCTTCCTGTGCTCAGCATGGCAGCCCCCTTCCTTTCATGCCTCGTGGCACCGCGGCTCGTGATCCGCACATGTTAGTAGACCTGTGTTTTGGTTTTATTGTTTGTTTTAAAATCTGTTTGTCAGGCATACAGCCAGGCCCTGGGGTTTTACAAAGAAGAAAAACTGTTCTTGAGATGGAGGAACCTCCAGTGGGGGTGAAGTGGGGTGAAGAACATGAAAATGTGATTTTAATGTGTTGTCAGTGCTGAGGGAGGGAGCTTGTTTTATGTAAAACCTCCCTCTAATGGTCCCTTAAGTTTTGTTAATTTTTTCATGGATCTGCCTGTTTATCCCTATACTTTTGAGGAGCAGTCTGTATACTTTTATTTGTTATCCTAATTCAGAGGTCATGAACCTTATATTTGGATAATTTCCCCTAAATGAATCATGATTTTCTTTTCCTGTCTATTGTGCATATTTACCAGATCATTCTGTGGCTTAAAAACCTTCATTTTCATTATTTGGGAGAGCTTTGTGAAATTTATAAACGTGGAAACATATCCACACATGCCCTCTTACGGAGAGGTTGGTCTCAAATCAGCTTTGAAGTGTCCTGTTGTTGATTGTGAGACTTGGTAGTTTAGTTACAGCTTTGGTTCTGTCTCGACAGACTCTGGAAGATATTCCAGGGTTGAAAACATGAAGTGCTAACTGATGATGCCTTTTCACCACGACAGAAAAAAAATGCACCTTAAAGACTGTAGTGATAACCGTGCTGGACATCAGTGAGGACAGGAGCCATGCTCCCAGAGCAGGTTCATCGGACTCGGCGCCACCACCGCCTCCAGGGACCAAGAATTTGTGGTGGTGGTGGTGGTGATGAGTTTATGAGCTAATGAAGAGGTGATAATCCCTTTTTACCTGATATTTCCCCCTTTTGGGTAGGCCTCTGAAGTGCCAAATATCTGAAAATGATTTGCATAGAATCACCTGAGCCCATCTGTTGTCTTAACCACAGATATGAAAGCAAAAAATTGCCACAGAGTCACTTTTTAAATAGAGCTCTAGCTTCTCCCAGACTCGGGCGTCCTTTGGCCCGGCCTCACCTTCTTCCTCACTTCTTCCTGGGGTTCTTCACTTCTGCCAAGCTGGGGTCGGCTGTGGCGGTTAGTCTCCTCAGCTCCCGGGACTGTTCCACTCAGCACCCCAGGCAAGGGCGCACTTTGAACCTTTTACTGGACTCACCCTATCTCTGATCTCACTCAGCTGTCTTTATCTGAAGTTGTGAAATCTCTTCATTCTTCTCATGCTCTCAGTTCTTGTGGTTGGGCTCTTCACCTGTTTGTGTTTGCAGGGTCTGCCGGCGACCCCTGGCTCCTGCTCTTAGCCTGCTCGGGGTGCCTTTGTTCGCAGGTTCTGCCGGCGACCCCTGGCGCCTGCTCTTAGCCTGCTCGCTGTGCTCTTGAAGTCGCCTCAGCTGTGACGGTCGAGTTGTCACTTTTCTGCCCTCCTCCTACCCCTCCTTACTTGCCCTCAACCCCAGTACTTTTGCGTGTTTCTCTCATATTATAAAGTCTGTTCTTTCAGGCTTTCCTAGGTGGGCTATAAGCTCCACAAGGCAGGTTCTGTGTTCCATTCATCTTTGTATGTTCATCGTCCAGCTCTTACTGGTCACTTCTCACTTGCTGTCTTTGCTCCTCTTTCAGCCTGAATCACCCACCATTGGCGCTGTCTGTCGTGGCCTGGTGGTGGAATATCCCTCCAGAAAGTTCCACTGGCCTCTGGACTCCTTTCCTTTCTGATTCCTCTGCTTAGGCATTTCTCTCTGTGCCTGAGGGCTGTATGTAAACAGGTGCCTGAAACTCTGCGCAGTCACTCAGGCCAGAAAGCCGTCCTGCGCAGACTGGAATCCTTGCCTTGCTCTCCTCTCCGGTGTGCTGCACAGGCCTGGCTCCCCCGGCCACACCTCTGCCTTTCGCGCTCGTGCAGCCCCTGTCACTGCTGCAGCCAGCTGGCCCCTCCGCAGTGACGTCTCCTTCCCCTTGACTTAGAACCCTCCATGACTCCTCCGTGCCCAGAGAAAGTAAGGCCCAGATCCCCAGCGCGGCCCCTTTGCGCCATCCGACAGAGGACTATCCTCCTCATCTTTTGAAGATGCAAGTACAATTCTAGCACTTTGAGAAAATGTTCTAGAAGAGGACACTTGTTAGATTCTGTAGTGTGAATTGGACACCTGGTGGACCGCAGGCTGAGCCCGTGCTGCACATAACGGGCTTCCAGCGCCTCTGAGTCCCTGCCTTCTCTGGGAGGCCGCATGGGAGCAAAGGTGGCCACAGGTAAAACCACAGACTTGCATCGCCGTGTTGAAGGTGAGAAGCATGGTTGAAAGTGCATATAGGGGGAATACTTTAATTTGTACCTGTATCATATATTGTTCTGTATATTTTCTACCTTTAGTGCTGTATGCAGATTTTACTTCTTTTTTGAATTTATTTTCCACTCATTTATTTGTGCCTATATCAGCTAATTTAATGATGAAAAACTTAGAACATGTGTCTACATTTTTATTTCACTCCACAAGTGTGAATCTCATAGCTCCTTACTGTATATAATTAACTCCAGTAATGGGTCTTGTTTTGGTTGAATGACTGCAGTTTAGGAGTGGAGTATCTTTGTATATAAAAATGCCTTTGAAAAGTTATGTTAAATAAAAATTTATACCTGGAATGAAATGTTTTTAAGGACTTCACAACCCAGAACAAATGAGCACCCTCCTTGCAAATACCAAGAGCGTAATTATGTGTCATTTCTTTAGTTGGTGGTTAGTTTGCTGGGGGTTAAAACATAAGTGATCATATTCAGGCTGGTCAGATCAGCAATTTTAATATGAAACCATTGCTTTTAGAATAATCATGGGCCAGACTGGGAAGAAATCTGAGAAGGGACCAGTGTGTTGGCGGAAGCGCGTAAAGTCAGAGTACATGCGCCTGCGGCAGCTCAAGAGATTCAGGCGCGCTGACGAAGTCAAGGTACCCTCTGCCTCCTGGGAGCACGCGGTACAGCCCCTCAAGATAAGTTTTAGTTTGAGAGGGAAAATGGCCTTTTTACTGTAAGAGAAATGGAAACTTGGAAGTTGAGGTCCTTGGTCTGTCTTAACTAACATAAAAATTGTACCATGCGCATAGTGAAATCATAAGTTTTTAGTCTAATTCAGCCTACTTGGCAGTCACCATCTTTTCAGTATAGCTTTGTGCACTGCATGGCAAGACCTAGGATCCAAGCATAAAGGGGTGTTTCATGGTACTGTGTTCCTGAAGTCTTTGTAATTAAAAAAGATATGTACACAATTGACAAAGGACAAAAATGATTTCTTGTTCCCCTTCTACTCTCAGTAAAATAATAGATGTTGTGTTTTTGTATTATTTGAATGTGGGAAGCCACATTTTAGTGTAAAATCTGTATGCTTTTGAAGGAATGTCCCTGGTACTTTTGACAAATCATGCAATTTTAACCTTCATTAGAGATGTTACAAATTTTCTAACAATGAACAATTTCTTTTCTTTTCCCCATTTTTTTTAAAAAGAGTATGTTTAGTTCCAATCGTCAGAAAATTTTGGAAAGAACAGAAATCTTAAACCAAGAGTGGAAACAGCGAAGAATCCAGCCTGTGCATATCCTGACTTCTGTGAGCTCATTGCGCGGGACCAGGGAGGTTGGTGAACTCATGCGCTGTTCAAGTTATCAGTGCATTTTGGTTTTTGCTGTTGGAATGTTGGTTGGTTATTGAGAGGGAACCATTGACCTCGGATGTCCCTTGTTTTATTGCTGTTTCTCTTTAATGTGCAACTGCTAATGGCTTCTAGTTATTCCTGTAACAGAGCTCTGGTGTTTAGAATTCTAATTTCACTGTTATTAGATAGATCCCTAGACTTTATAAGACTAGTCATTAAAAAAGAACTTAAAATACTCTTAAATGTCCTCATCAGATCAAAAGTTAGAGCACGGCTTTCTGACCCACCCTTTTCTTTTTTTCTCCCCCTTCTTATGAGTTAGCCATGCTGGAAGAAATGTTTCTTTTTCATGCATACTCATGGAGTTAACAAGCATTTTATTACACATTTTGTTTAAATTCTAAGGCTCACTGGGAATTTTAAAACTTGGGGTTGAGAGGTCAGAATTTCATTTGTTAATAGCATTTTTTTTGATGAATGAAGTAGATCTTAATCACTCGAAAAAATTACTGTTTTCCAAGGAAGGCAGTAAATCTATGGTAGGTTTATAATGAAGTAACACATTAAAATGTAGTAGTAGCAAGATGAAGAGAAAATGGCAGAAACTTAAACAGTATGAACCAGTCAGTAGGATTTTGGTTAAGGTGTTTCAACTTAAGTGCCAGTTTTATACAGGAAGACATGGCATATGATAAGAAATGCTACCTGAACGGGCATGGAAGCAGAGAGGGAAGAAAGTGAGATGAAATTTAAATTACACCACGGAGTAGATGATTGTTGACCTAGGTGTCTAAACATGGGATGCATTTAAACAATGGAATGAATTTGTTCTAAAATGATGTTTTCAGCGAGTAGACATTTTTAATATGGTATTATGATAATTAAGCACTAATTTGCTGTCATATGAGGCCTGTTGAGGTCATGTGATGGACTGGCTTCAAGGACTGGTCATTGCTACAGATATGGTCCTAGAAGTGGTTTTAGTGATGATGTTCATGGTCTTGATGGTGAAAAATGGCTTGGGATGATTCTTAGTTATTTATAAATTTTGTCGGGTGACAGCTCTTTAAGCTCTAATTTGCAGTTGTATAAAATGTATTATATGAAAAAAAGTATTAACACCTTCCAGTCACATGGAACAGGTCAGGACCTACACATTGAGGTAAATGACTTATTAATATGTACTTATTAATGTACATATGTAAATAAAATGTACTAAATATTTCATAACTAAAGGTGAAAGAGATTCCTTTCTGTGCTGGTTAGAACATTCTCAAAAGGGATCAGGATGTAGCCTCTCACTAGTTCTTTTGCAAGTTTTGTCTGGTGATGTTCTGAAAGTTTTGAAGTGAAGGAAAAAGAAACCTCTGTTTTTTTCTCCCCAGAGAGAAAAATCTTAGAAATTTGAAGAAATAAAGTAGGAAACGCATGGAACACTTGTTTTTGCCACCCATTACAAATCTCAAAATGCTGCCAAAAGCCCGGCCTGCCTTTATAGTAAAAGCCGCAGCAGTGGTGATTTCTGGCAGGGCACTAGGTCTGTTGCGTTTGATCACTGTGATGGCTGCGTTACCCCTTTTCCATTCCTGGGTGAGGAAACGTAACTTAGAGGGCTTAAAGTCAGTTTCCTTGCTCTAGTGATCTGATGTGGGCCTGAAAGAGTACTCTTTGCTCAGACACATTAAGAAATTATTGAAGTTTGTTATTTATGTACAGCTGGAATTGCTCATGATACAATTTTTGGTGTTAATTAAAGAGTATATTATTCAAATGAATATTTACTAATTGAATTTTGCTTTTAATTTTGTTAGTTGAGATAAAAGTCATTGAATGTTAAGATAACTATTAACTTTCTATTGAGCTTATGGGACAAATGGTAAGAAGAAATTAGTATTTTGATAAAAACAAGTGGTTTTTAAACTTAGTACTCCATACAGGTTGAGAAGAAATATTTTCACAAAATAGGAAGGAAAAGGAGGAAAGAAACCCCTAGCCTCAGGGTTCAAGGTTTGTTGCCTGGAGCTCTGACCCGGTCAGGCTCGCTTGTTTTTGAGTGTCTCTTGACAGCTGATTCTGCTTCAAATGATTCGTCTTATACTCCTCCTAGCCCCCCACCCCCTTTAAAACCATCATCACTGACTTTTGGAAGCTAAAGATTTATATAGTTTGTGATAAGCTTTTTGGTGTTATCATAGTAAATAATAGAACTTTAGGGCTGGAAAGGACTTTAATGATCTCTGTCTAGTCTCCTTACTTTTCAGATAAGACTATCTCTGTTTAGTTTTCCTTCAGTTTGAGCATTTCCAAAATAGATCAGTTTCTTTTTTATGCTTTGAAAGTTGGAGTCAACTAGGTCAGAAGCAGGGAGAAAATAGGTAAGTTAGCCTATTTTGCAAAGACTTTCTTTGCAGTAGGCTTGAAGGCTTGGCAGAATTTGGGACTGCCCTGTTGACCCAGACACCTGAAAAATCTGTTTCTTTGAACATTTGTTAAGTGCTGTTGTGACACTGCTTTAATTTAGTCCTTATCTTTATAAACTCATCCTTTATAAAAGGGCTGTCTTCAGTTTAAGTTCTTGGAGCATGATGATGATTCACTGACAGTTTTCAGTCATTCACTCAAATACTTTATTCCCTTTTGTACTTATAGAAGGTAGGTGATACACTCAGTTTTAAAATGACCAATTTTATCTAGGTTATTTTAGTAAAGAAAATCTGACAAGGTTACTTTCTGATCTGATGAAGTGACTTGGGTTCAAGGAGCCCTGCAGTTGACCTGCAGCCACATCTTTAGTCTGCTGTTTCCTTCGCGAGTGCTTTTAGGAGACTTGCAGCTACTTAGTTTGTGGTGTTGAAGTTGCAGAACCTAAACTGTTGCCCATGGGATTTTAGTACAGAGAATGTCTGTTTTTTCTTTTAGAAAATACTCTTGACTTCTTGAAGATAGTGACTATAATATATATACTTTACATTTATTTCCTTTGCGCTTCAGTTTATCTTTTTTTAAGGAGCGCTCAGTTTTAAAATGTTATTAAATGATACTTAGAGGCCAAGGGATATACGCCATATTGCTGTAACATGTGGCTGTTTATCAAAAACTTCTTTCTTGGTAACATCATTACTTTGTCTTATCAATCGGTAAAGAACTTTATCTTCTGTAAGCCTGTATGTTAGTGGCCTTGATCTGTAGTGTGTCTGTTTTTCCAGTTTTAATGAAGAAGCTGGTTGAGTTACTCTTGTAGTTCTTACTAATGCATTTCTTTTTGTACGTTTTCCGTTTCTTGCTAAAAACCACAAGGCGCTTTTCCTCTTCACTGATTCTTCATATCAAGATTTTTTTTTACTTGTACAAATTGTGACTGAAAGGGAGGCTTTCTCAAATGATGTCCGTCTTCTGGGCAACTGGTGTGATTGGTGTAGTAGTTTAAAAATATCCTGCCAATATGCATTTTTAGATTTCCAGGAGAATGTAGTGTTCTTGTAAGAATTCTGTGTCTTGTTTACTAATGAAAGGAGTGGGGCTTCTTCAGAATGTTTAACATACAAGGAGCATCAGAAGGACCCCCAGGTTCTCACATTCGTGGAGAACTAAAAGTCTACTGGACTTTTCAGTACATATAGGTTTGCTCTTCCTAGTGATATCTTAGAATTTTAAGTTCATCACCTATCACTTGATATTCGCAAATGAATTTTTTTTGTAGGGGGAGGCTTCTGTTCCAATGCAGGGCATGTGAGTTCTTTCATGAGTCTGCAGTTTGGGCTTGTTTTTTATTGAAGGGGAAGAAAAAGCTTGTTTACCTGTAAACACTTGACTGCATCATTTATTGACATGGTCATGTACTTTTGTCAGTTGATTGTAAATAGAAATTACTATATACAAAGAGAAATAATATGCTAGTGTACCCAGTATGTACTGGCATCTTCTTTACTCCTCACTCCAGCACAGTCGCGTGCTTTCTATCCTTAGTGAATTTGAGCATTAGAGGACCAGTGTGTCCTGCTCAGCATTTGAGCACGTGTGGCAAGGAGCTGGGCCCTTTTTCTCATGTCTTAGAGAGAGGTGAGGGGTGCTCCCATGTGAGTGTCTTGACTCTCAGCTTGAGCATATCCGTCCTTTCTTGGTTCCTCAAGGAACTGGTTTCTAGTTGCTTTCTGCTGCTGTCTCTCTTAACCCTTAGTTGGTTGAGTCTTGTATTAACTCTGCCAGTCCTTCCTGCCCATGTAACTTTTTCAAATCATGGCAGCCTTCACTTTCTTTCTGGCTTTCTTTCAGTGGAACTAGATGGAACGTTACTTCAGTAACCATAAGGAGGTGTTATTTTTCTTTTGAAAGGAAGCTCATATAAGCATTTTATGCTTTTCCAAAAAGACCATTTAAAAAAAAGAAAGATCACGTATGTTGTTTGAGTTTCTGTTTTATTATTGTATATTAAAGATATATCATACACTTACGTTTGAGTTCATATTTGAAACTTAAGATGATATATCTTAACTTTAAAAGTGAACTTTTCAAAAATATCAAATGTTTATTTTGTGATCTTAAATAAACTAGCAGAAGTTGTGTTTAATTAGCAGAAGTTGTGTTTAATTTGCTGTTTTTCTGTAAGAGCACTGTGTATACAGTTTGGGTTTTAAAAATTGTTAAATTGACTGTTACAGAGATCAAAGTCTCTTCTCAAAATGCAAAACCAAATTTTGACAGTTGTCTTAAAAACAAACAGAATGAACCAAAGCCCAAAGAAATGCTTGTCTAGTCTACAGTGTTAAAAACTGTTTATTGCTCTGAAGAAATAACACTTTTTAGGCCTAGAACTTCTGTCATAATTTAGCTTGATATTATGGATTGACAAATCCACTGCTTAGGATTCTGTTTTGTTTGCTCTTACTACATTTTGTAAGAGTATATAATTTGAGTACCTTTTGGGAGGGGTGGGTAGATTTCATGAGCTACCTTGGCAATTGATAAGGTACTTTCTTACCAGCTAATGTGAATATCTGTGTGTTGTTAGTTGCTCAGTTGTGTCCGACTCTTTGTGACCCCATGGATTGTAGCCTACCAGAGTTCTGTCCATGGAATTATCTATCTCCTGGGAATATCTGTGGGTTAGTGAAATTTTGTAAAAATCTTTTTCTTAATTAGAAGATCATTATATTAACTGTAAAAATTCAAGTAACAGAAATATATGAAACAGGAGACAAAGGACCCTGTACTTTAACCCTTGTGATTTTGATTCTTTCAGATTTCTTTTTCTGTAACATGTTAGTAATAATGATGATGTATTTTATTAAGAAAAAATTATTCCCAGATAAAATACGTCTGCCACTTGGGGCCGTCACTTTATAGTTCCTCATCAGTGCGAGTGCTTGGTCCTGTGGCTTTGCCATAATTGATTGCCCTGTTCATAACTGATGAACACTTAGGTCTTTATTTTTTCCTTTTGCAGTTAGCATTTCTGTGAGTATTCTTCTTACACATCTTTTGAGTAAGTTTGTAGGAAAAGTTTCTAGAAACGTTTTACTAGGTCAAGAGGATATGTGTATATAACATTTTAATAGATGTTAACAAATTGATCCCACAAAGTTTTTTGTTTACACTCTTCACCAACTCATAATAGCAGGGCTTTCTCTGTTTTCCCAATGTAAAATGTTAACCTTTGTCAGTGTGATAGGTAAAACACTACTGCAGTTTGCTTGCCTTCCTTTTTTCAGCAAAACTAAGTATCTGTTGTTTGTTTGTATTTCTTTTATGAGTTGGCTGTTATGGGCTCGGATCTTTTAAAATTGGGTTGAACTTTATCTTACGATTTTTAAGGACTTTATATTATAAATACTATTTATAATCATCTGTTCTGCACATCTTTTTCTCCCCATTTTGATATTATTTCTGATATATTTTGGTTGTACAGAAGTTTTAAATGTGTATGTAGTTAATTAGAGTTTCTTCTTTTGATTTTTGTGTTTCTTTAAGGCTGACAAAGCCTTTCTTCACTTCAAGATGATAGATTACCCTTCTTTCCTTCTAGTTCTGTTTTCATTTTTGTGTTTTAACATCATTTACCCTATTAGGAGTTTCCTGTTGTATAAAGAGTAAGTGGGGAGTTTTCATTTTTGATTTTTTTCTGTTTAGCTCTGTTGTTTTAGCATCATTCACTAAATGATGAATCTTTGAGCAGCTGGGGAGAGTCATGCTTCTGTTTTGCAAAGATCAGCAGAATTGGCCTGTCTGGCGGTCACGGAGCAAGCTCAGCACCTGAGCGCAGAGCTCGCGCTTCTGAGACCGAGGTCCTGGGACTGTCCTGTCTCCACTTCAGCCCCTGCTGCCCCAGCTGATGGAAACCCGGCTTTATTCTTTGTTCTGCTTCTTAGTTTTTCTTTTCTTTCCTTTTTTTTTTTTTCAGTGATAGAAGTGATCTTTATTTACCTCTCATAGGACCCTTACTGAATTAGGTACTTGAGTTTGCCTCTCACGGACAAGCAGGACTCTGGTTACCTGCCTTACACGCTGTGTTGGGTGTTTCTGTGGTCCTGCCAACTTTTGTCCTGTGACTATTAATTGTTCTGCTTCTGATCTGTAGGATTTTAGCGGAACTGCAGATTAAGAGAGGACTATTTACCCTTACAACCCCCTTCAGACTCAGACCAGAGTTGGGTTTTTAACAGTTACTATACTAACTAGATCTATAGATCTGTGATCTCCTCACTCAGGAGCTCAGATGCAGGGAGGAGCTTTAAGGTCCCAATATCCTGCCATTGCCCTTCACAGGTAATGTGAAGGTAATTGTTGTTACCTGTCCTCTGTGAAATGCTATATATGCCCCTGTGTCCCGCCCAGAGGATGCTTGTAGGATGACATCTTTCTGTTCTCAAGTGAGCTCAGAGCAGGAGCCTCGTGTCGCTGGGCGGAGCTTCTCCTCTAGTCTGGGCGGCTCTGCAGTACACATATTCAGCACCAGAACAGGAAATAATTTACAGTCTGGTCTGAGCCACTCTTGTATTCCTTAGCTCCCACGACCTTGATTAGCTGCTTTTATTAACTAAAGGTCTTTATGTCAAGATCTCATCAGGATGTTCGATTTCTGACCACCCTTCCCGCCTCTAGCCACCCTTCTCCTAATCCTTCTAACCCCTGTTAGGAGCTCACTTCTACTGTGAGCTTTTCTTGACTCAAACTTGATACTTAACCTCATTCCAGTTTTCTCTTCAGTACTTCCTTCACATGAAAGCAGTCTGAAATTAAGTTATGTACACTATCATTTTCACCAGAGGGCTAGCTAATTTAAAACTTGGTATATCATCTTGTCTCTGCTGAAACCGTGAGGAATATGAGTAGTTTCAGAAATCACCCTCAGCTTTCCCCTGGAGTTGGGTGGCAGCCAATACTTTCTTTCCTGCACTTTAGATGTGAGACAGTCCTTATTGTTTTTGCTCGGAAAAGCTAAAGGATATTAGACAATATCAACAGTTCATTGTGTCTCTGGCTTGAATTGAGTGGACCAACCAGGATCCAAGAATATTTTTAACTTGGCTAACCGAGTGTACTTTTTTCCCCTTACTGTACGGAAGCTGGACTTAACCCTCCTCATGTAAAGACTGTTGAGAGTCCGGACGGCTGTGGCCATGCCCTTTGGGGTGTCCCGCTGTAAGAGGGGGAGTCATGCCTGCCGCCTAGGGTAGTGGTGAATCTTAAAGAAGGTAACTTTGGTAAAGTCTCTAGCACAGTGCTCGGCACGTAGTAGGGTGTGTTAATTTCTTTCCCTTCCCTGCAGGCCACTCACCTGCTCTTCCCTCTACGATTTTCCATAACACAGTTTTTACTTGGAACCAGCCTTCTGCCAAGAGTCTCAGTTTGGTTGTGTACTCCTACAACTACTATTTTTGGCTTGACTTCCCTCTCCAGCTCCCAGTGGTCCAGCCACACAGTCGCCTATTGTACCAGCTGGTTGATGTAAGTCTATCCATCCTCAGAGGAACCTGGTCACTTACCAGTAAGCTGTGTTTCTCTGAAAATGTAGCATCCTTGATAACTCATGTAGTCATTTTCTTTCTTTACCATCATTGATGGATTACCTGCAACAGCTTCCTTGTGTGATCCTCAAGTTGGACCTAGAATTAGAGAATTTCATTGGTTGATATATAGGTCTCCTAGTGAGTTCCTGAGCCCAAGGCTTTGATCAGGTAAAAGGCTGTGGAGACCCAGGAGGTCAAAGTCCTGTTCAGTCCTCTGAGTGATGTGAGACTTGATAACATAAACTGTCAAGGATGATACATTTTCAAAGAAAAAAAGTTACTGATAAGTAACTGGGATTTTTGAGTAACTTTCCTGTAAGTCAATGAATAAGAATTCCCAAACTTGTTTTACCAGCAAATGCTTTTGCATTTGAATATTATTTCATAAACGAAAGGGATATGGTTTTTAGTTAATAGTTAAAGAATGGGATAGAGTTTCTAGAGATAATGCATAGATAACGAGGTGGGTATAGACCTTCAAATTGTTACTTAGGTGTTCTCGTAGCTTTAAAAGAAATGGAAGTCGAAGTCTCCATCGGGGAAAAGGCAGCAAATGCAGTCGGTTCATTCCAGGAACATTTTTTGAGTGCCTACTCTTTTTTGAGACACTGTGCTGAGTATTGTTGCGAGGCAGACGTAGCACCACGCTCTGCCGCAGCCACTTTTGCCTTCAGAGAGCTTATTTCCAGCCCCTTGGTAACACTTAGGGCTGAGACTTGAGGTCTAGGTGATAGGGTGTGGCAGGTGTGGGGTGGGAGACAGTACCCAGTGCTGCAGCCTCTGCCATCTTATTTTCTGCGCTTCTCTAAGTTCTTTCTGTTCACGGAGACGTGACCTCGTTCAGTGGACTCAGCATCCTCATGACGCCGGGCAGACCGGCGGGGCGGGGCTCGTGCCCCCCCTGTATGGTGGTTGAGTAGGACACGCAGCTCTCCCTCCTCCTCTGAGTGTGACCTTGGGTTTGCCAGAGTTGGAGAGGCAGCCGCTCCCCCTTGTCCCCCACGCTTTAAAGGGGACCAGTCTTCTGAATTAAAGTCACTGAATTAATTTGCCTCCACCACGTGTAAAACAAAATTCAAAAATTCCAATTTGTTTTGCAAGGACTGAAATTGTTTTGAACTTAAAACCTCTGGACAGTGTATATCACTTTATTCTGTAGTTTCAGCCATTCTTTGCCCCACTGTTAGCTGGTTAAGTAACTTAAGAAGGAATGAAGATGTGGTAGGAAGAGGGGAAGAGGAGGAGGTGGGGGAGAAGATGCTCGGCGTATAGCACCCATGGCATGAGCATCCCGGGAAGGGCTGGAGCGTACGGACGAGGCTCCCGGGTGTAGCAATCAGACTGAGGCTTCCATCCTGGCTTGGAAGTTGACTGTCTTTCTGACCAGGCAAGTTATTTAACTTCTTTGAACCTCAGTTGCCTCCTCATCGTGCAGTCGTGATGCTAAAGGCTAAGATGAGGAGTGGTTACGATAATGCATATGAAGCACTTAGCACAGTGCCTGCAACATAGTACGTGCTCAATAAATGTTAACTGCTCTTATTATTGGACGGATGCATGAGGAATTGTATCAGAGGCCAAGGGAGGAAACGGGGAAAGATTGCGGGTTCTGGAGCTTAGTCAACTGTTCACACTGTCTTACTTACTTGAGCCATGAGCTCTCTAGTGTCACCTTTGATCTTTGCCCTTTTGGAAAGCAAATTAATGGATTAACTACTGTCACAGTTTTTCCTAACTGTTCTATCTTTAAACCTTCCCTTCCACTGAGGAAGGAACTGTTTTTGCTCTGGGTGACTGTGACTATTGGAAGATTGTCCTCCTGGCCTGAGGACATGCTAAGGGCCAGGTGGGCCTGGAGGCCAAAGACTTCCACTCTGATTTCACCAAATCTAGCCCTGATATTTTTAAATCTTCTTTGATAAAAATGAAACATTTAATAATTATGTGTGTCTTATAGATATGACTTTTTTGGTTTCATTTTACTACTTCAATTCTACTTCTTTTTGCTCTGTTTTCATGGATTATTTGTCAAGGGCATTTTTGAGATGGCTCTGGAGACCTGACATCGGGTATTGGAGCTCCTTAAGAGAATCTGGATTCCTAGACAGGGTGAAGTGCTGTGGTCTTTGGACACAGATCTTTACCGTATTTCATCAAGTCAAAGATGCAAACTTCTAAACATTTTACATCTGAAACTGGCATGCATCTTAGAGTCACTATGATAAAGTATTGTGTTATAGTTTAATTGGCAACATTATTTTCTTAATGATACAGAATGGTGTATGGTGTGCTTTAAAATTCATGTCATTGTAAATTGGATGAAATACGGTATAATGTTTCAGGGGAATATATGCACTTAACTGGTATTAGAGATGTGGTATCCTGACAGTGTGTGTATTGGGTAAGAAGAGGGGCTCCAGAGTCAGACTTTCTGGGCTTAAATTCTAGCCCTGACTCGTGTATGACTTCGGGCCAGTTATGTATCCTTCCTGTCAGTTTTCTCACCTGTAAAATGGGCACTAAGAATAGTCCCCATCTTACAGCGCTGTGATGAGGACTGAATATGAGACATGTTAAGTGTTTAAAATAGTGCCTAGCACATAGAAAGTGCTTAATGACATTAGCTGTTATTATTAATAATTTAGGGATTACACTTCTGCAGAATTGATTTGAATCCATTTTGTTGTGATTGAAACTCACATCTACTACCTTTTATATTAGTGTATCATCTGATGATATCAGCAGACACTTGACTTTTTAAAAAGGGAAGGTAAAGATAAAGGTGAACCTAACAAGTTTCTAAATTCTTACTTAGTAAGATTTATGTTATTGTCTCATGTGGTTGAGATGTAAGCAAAATTAAGCAGTGAGGTAGGAAATTTATGGTGAAAGCAAAGAGCAGTTAATCTGAGGCCAACATAAATATAATATTTGATTCTTACTGGTACTGGTAAATATGGGAGGTGTTGGAAGGTTTTGAAAATTTTCAAAATCTGAAGCTTTTTTGGTCACTAAGTAAAAGAGGAGAGAATGCTTTTTGGTTTTTACCAACTTACTGTCTCAGGTAAAGAAATTTACTTTTCAAAATGATGTAAGTAGGCAGCATCTCTTTATAATATGATGACTGAGGCTTCAGGTTGTCCTTTTATTCTTAGGAGTCAATTCTACTTTTTCTGTTCTAGTGTTCGGTGACCAGTGATTTGGATTTTCCAACACAAGTCATCCCATTAAAGACTCTGAATGCAGTTGCTTCAGTACCAATAATGTATTCTTGGTCTCCTCTACAGCAGAATTTCATGGTATGTAAATAATGTGTCTTTTTATTTGGTAATTACTTCTTTTAACCAAAGCATAATTTTCATGTCAAGGTAAGTCAAGATTTTGTTGTTCAGTCACTAAATTATGTCTGACTCTTTGCAACCCCATGAATTGCAGCACACCAGGCTTCCCTGTCCATCACCAACTTCTGGAGCTCGCTCAAACTCATGTCCTTTGAGGTGGTGACACCATCCAACCATCTCATCCTCTGTCGTCCCCCTTTCCTCCTGCCTTCAATCTTTCCCAGCATTAGGGTCTTTTCCAATGAGTCAGTTTCTCTGCATCAGGTGACCAAAGTATTGGAGTTTCAGCTTCAGCATCAGTCCTTCCAATGAATATTAGGACTGATTTCCTTCAGGATTGACTGGCTGGATCTCCTTGCAGTCCAAGGGACTCTCTCAAGAGTCTTCTCCAACACCATAGTTCAAAAGCATCAATTCTTCAGTGCTCAGCTTTCTTTATAGCCCAGCTCTCACATCCATTCACGACTACTGGAAAAACCATAGCTTTGATTAGACGGCAGAGTTTGTCTTTGTTGGCAAAGTAATGTCTCTGCTTTTTAATATGCTGTCTATGTTTGAAGCCTAGCTTGAAGGATTTTGAGCATGTTTTTGCTCACATGTGAAATGAGTGCAATTATACAGCGATGTGAACATTCTTTGGCACTGCCTTTCTTTGGGATTGGAATGAAAACCAACCTTTTCCAGTCCTGTGGCCACTGCTGAGTTTTCCAAATTTGCTGGCATTTTGAGTGTAGCACCGTAACAGATCATCTTTTAGGATTTTAAATAGCTCTGGTGGAATTCTATCACCTCCACTAGTTTTGTTTGTAGAAATACTTCAAGATAGTGTAAGTAAAAATAGCTGTTGAAATGGGAACACTTGGAGTAATTTTTTTAAACTGGTTAATATATGTATTTTTAAGCCTTTTCAGTGTTGATCTTGCTCTTAGTCCTTTTTAATTTTTTTTTTTTTTGCTTTTATTTACTTCTTTTAAGTAACATTCTGCAAAGGGAAAGTGAAAGTGAAGTCACTCAGTCATGTCCGACTCTTTGCGACTCCATAGTCCGTAGCCTACCAGACTCCTCAATCCATGGAATTTTCCAGGCAAGAGTACTGGAGTGGGTTGCCATTTCCTTTTCCAGGGGATCTTCCCAACCCAGGGATTGAACCTGGGTCTCCCGCACCGCAGGCAGACACTTTACCGCCTGAGCCACCAGGGAAGCCCTCCAAAGGGAAAATATTAAGCAAAAACCATACCTGGGGTTTAAAATATATTTAAAAGATGAAGCTTATAGTTCTTGCTCTTAAAGATGTTAGTATCCTGTAATCTCAGTCTGACTTTGAGATTTTGTTAAGTGAGAGCTTATTATTTAGAACAATTTTAGGCAGCATGTTATTAAATGATAATTACACTATGAAATAGTCTCAGCATAAGGCTATTTTCCCACAGATAACACTGGCACAATAGCTTTTGTTATGAAATGCTAGTATTTAATTCTTTATGGAGGTAGGATGAAGGAGAGGATGGAACAAAAGAGAAGTTAAAGTATGCATTCTTGACTTGTTTTGTCAAATTAAAAATGCATAGTTTTATAGTTTACTTGCTATATAAAATAATAGGGCTGTTGAAATCTTGATGGAAGTCCTTGGTGAGCCTACTTTAGAGAATTGCCTGCTAGATTTTTCAATAAATAGGTGTTTATAACATCCTCAGTAACTTTTCTCAGTGGAGGCTTAAAGGTAAACTTGAGATTCTCTTTTGCCATTGCGTAGATTTGTGTATTTAAGGCTTTATTCAAAAACATTTGGTTTGAGAATCATGTTGCAAGAACTTCTGAGAGGGCTTCTATTTTCACAGACTGAAATTCTGAAGGAATATAGTGTTTTAAACTTGGCAATAAATTTTTTTAACCATTTGAAAAAATTGAAGTATAGTCAGTTTATACTCTTGTGTTAGTTTTCAGTGCATAGCAAAGTGATTCCTTTCTGGATTGTTTTTCCTTATAGATTATTACAAGATATTGAGTATAGGTCCCTCTTGTTTTATGGATAGTAGTGTGTATCTATCAGCCCTCCAATCATAATTCATCTCCTCCTCCAAAGTTGTCAGTATTATTTATGAATCAGACATGGGTTTTGCTAGTGATGAAAGCCAGATTAGGCAGACTTTTCTTTTTTATGGCTAGGGTATGTCCTGCAGTGCAGAGGTTTTATGGATATAATTGTGAAGACAAAAAATAGCCAACTGTCATTTCATTTTGGCTTGTGTCCAAAATAATGAACTTTCCCAGTTTTAAATGGGGTTTAGTGCCGGTAAGGTGTGCTGGCAGCTAGACTCAGTAGCTGTATGTCAGGTTGACTCTGACTAGAACAGTGCATTAGCATGTACGTTTTCGTTTTACACCCCATGTGCACTTTTCCTCCCAGTTTGCCTTTGCTTTGTTGGTCAGAGGTACCATTATCTTTATGAACTCTGCACCTGCCCTAGATTTGTTATGTAGGAATTGTTTGAAAAATTCCCTGCTTTTTCCTATTTCCTGTGTGCTCCTACTTGGCAGCTCCTGTGTGTCCCGGCCTTTTCCCAGCCTGTTCCTCTGTATCAGTCATGGGTCAGCCTGAGGCACCACACACTTAAATAGTTGCCATTTCCTCTCTTCAATCTTAGCCAGTCTGTTCTGTTATCAGAATTTCTTTCTAAAATTCTGTTTTTAATCAATACCTTGTTCAAAGGCCTCTTCAGACTGAGACCTATCCTTGTTTTAAAATTAGTCTCCTTATTTAGGATATGAACTTCAGAAAGGTTGTGTCTTTATCTATAATTACTCTTTAACTATTTTATTGAAAGTTCTCTTCCCCCAAGAATATCAGCTTCCTGTCCCTTGTTTTCTTGAAGTCCTGTGTCCTCTCTGAACTTTTCTTTGACTAGCCCTTTCCTGCTCAGCCAGCACCCTCTTTCTTCCCTGGTATCTTCCAAACCTTGATATAAACTCATCTGTCATCTTTATTAGCACTATCAGGTTTGATATGTCTTGTTCATAGTGTTGAAGCATTTTGTTATTGTAGAATGTTCCTATTTTATGAATGAGAGTAAATCCTTTTGGCATAACCTGTAATGAACCATCTATATTTTACGTGCCTAGAATTTATTATGTTGACTGTCGATAAGTTGATCAAGTGAAGTTTGGAAATCCTCACTTAATTAGTTTTTTTCCTTTTGGGGCATTGTTATTTATGGTTGGCTTTGATAAGCTGTATTTGTCGACCCTGAGATGCTTTTAAATGTCTGAAGCAGGAACATGGCTTCAAATGGTTGATGGGCCACACCGTAACTTGTGGCGTGTTCCTGTCTTAGAGGGACATGAAGTGATGGTAAATTGTAGTAACTGATTTCATGATACAGTATTTTTTCTTAAGTTTTTTTCCTGTAAACAGTTTTCTCAGATATTGATGAGAAGCATCATTTATTTCTTTGTAGCTTTTAGAGTTGGCTATTATTTTAGATCTGGAGAACTGGGTATGGACATCTGCTTATGAAAAAATACTGTATTTCAGTTATGTTACATTTGCTTTTAAAAAACTTAGGATGTGTCTACTTTTTAAATATATTTATTTTTTTCACTTTTAGGTGGAAGATGAAACTGTTTTACATAACATTCCATACATGGGGGATGAAGTTTTAGACCAGGATGGGACTTTCATTGAAGAACTAATAAAAAATTATGATGGAAAAGTACACGGGGATAGAGGTGAGGCATGTGTTTATTCTCTTGGAAAAGGGGCCAGAGAATTGATATTTTGATTTGTTTTTTCAAACGTCAGTATGAAAAAGATTTTTTAAAAATTAAAACTGCTGGATTGGCCTGGGCTAAAATTTTCAGTATTTTCCCTATCTATTTTTAAATTGAAGGATTGTATTTGCCACTTGGAAATTATGCATAGCTGGTTATTAAAAAGCTGTCAATCACATGCAAATTAAATAGAATTGTTTCAATGTATATAGATTTTAAGATTCTTTAGCAATGAAATGGGTTAGGATTAGAGCCCTGCTTATGTAACATGGACTCCAAAAGGCCTTGTGATCAAAATGACTTTCTCTGCTAGGCCACCACAAGACCTGAAAGTCCTGTCATTAGAATCACAGCTTCGTGCTTTAACAGGAGAACTGTTAAAGTGCCTGGCAGGAGGGTGGTGTGTAATAGCCTCTCATCTCTTCACAAGTGGACAGCGCAATCTGGTGGATACGTTGTTCAGAAGGAGGTGAAGGCCGTATTTAGTTTCTAGAGAATTAGGCTGTGGTCTCCAGCACTGGAAATTTGTGAAAATGACTGGTGTTGAGGGTAAATTCTACTTCCAGCTTTGCCTTAGGCCAGTCCTGGAAATGACCTTTCTCCCAAATTTTATAATAATTATGGTGTTACAGTGCTGATTGATGTGCTGCAGTTGTTTCTTACAAATTAGAAAAAAGCATGGTATACTTTTATGTATATCTGATACTTGATTTGATGAATTTCAGAATGTGGGTTTATAAATGATGAAATTTTTGTGGAGCTGGTGAATGCTCTTGGTCAGTACAATGATGATGATGATGATGATGATGGAGATGATCCTGATGAAAGAGAAGAAAAACAGAAAGATCTAGAGGAGAGTCGAGAAGGTACATCTGTCTTGTTAGGTTTGTGTGTAGCCATAACAGCGTTTTTCAAAAAAATAGAGTACAGGTAAACTTCCCTTCTTTTTTCTTCTGTTAAATGTCACATCAGGGGTAGTATAATCAAAATTAAAATACTATTTGTAACATTTCATCCTACACGTGTGAGTCTTTTATTTCCTTGGCTAGCAAAGGAATGTACAGGTTTTGGGTTTCCCTGGACAATTATCATAATTACTGTAATATGTAACGTCAGTTTTTTACTATATGCAGGTCATACACTTGTCAATTTATATCACTTTATATGTGTATAGACATTTACTCTTCCTAATATTCCATATGGAATAAAGTGGATTTTATCCTCAGATCCACTTTATAGTTGAGATGGGTTTAGTGAGGTGAAGTAACTTAAGATCACAGCATTGGGAAGAAAGAGAACCCAGGAAGTTCTGTTTTGGAAACCAGCTCTGACTGACCCCAGGGCACATGCTGTAACTTGCACACTAATTACGGATCACCAGAGAAGTTAGAGGGTCCCGATTTAGAGCTGGGGTTGGAAGAGACTTGACAAAGCTCATTATGAAGTCAGCATAGAAGAATTTTTGGGGAAGTTGCAGTTTCAGAGAAGCATCCTGTCCTCAGAATCGGTGCCTTAGTGATCCTGTGGGCCCTCGTTTCACAGATGACACGTGCAGGGGGGTCAGTGACGGGACAGGGTCACAGCAGCAGGCAGTGCTGAGCTGGGATCAGAGCCTGGGTTTTTCTGCCTCCCGGTGCACTTGAAACTTTGCATATTTGATTTTGAGTTTTGTCTGACCTACCAGCATTCCAGATACTTGTAAAATAGGTTAGAAGTGAGAGAGACAGAGAATTGGTAATTTCTTGAGAAATCCGCATTGCTAAGTGTAGACAAAATGAAGCATTGGTGAGCTTGTTCACTTTCATTCTTTTTTCCTTTCTCATTTCCCTGTTTAGATAAAGAAAGCCGTCCACCTCGGAAATTTCCTTCTGATAAAATTTTTGAAGCTATTTCCTCAATGTTTCCAGATAAGGGCACAGCGGAAGAGCTAAAGGAAAAGTAAGGTTTGCTCTTTGGATACGGCCTTGCTGTGTGTGGCACGTGACTGGCCATTCTGGTTTTTAGAGCTGGAGCTGGTGAAGCCGCTGCTCTGCACGTTCAGTGTTTGCGGGACACTCGGACTGATCCGTGTGTGTGTCCGTGGGACCCTGGGCTGCGTTTATCATAGATGGAAGTGTGCATGAGTGTGCACACACACAATTTATAGGAGTGCGTGTAAGAGGAAATTTCTCTGGACACCCATAGAAATTTTACTGCCATGACTGCTTTGTTTTAATGAATGTAATAACATTTTTCATGACAGATCTGAATAACATCTGTGAATGTTTCTTGATATACTATGTGTAATGTGTAATTGGCTCTTCATCTAAATAAAGATTGCTGTAGGCCAGACCCTTTTCTGTGTTTTAGGCAAGATAAAATATCCAAAGTAGTAAATAGAAAGCGTGTGGAAACTTCTGTGTTCAAGAATGTGGTTCTGGTTTCACCCTCACGTGCCTTTCTCTTGGTTGACATCAGGTACAAAGAACTCACGGAGCAGCAGCTCCCGGGCGCACTCCCTCCTGAGTGCACCCCCAACATAGACGGGCCGAACGCCAAGTCTGTGCAGAGGGAGCAGAGCTTGCATTCGTTCCACACGCTTTTCTGTAGGCGCTGCTTTAAATACGACTGCTTCCTACATCGTAAGTGCGGTTACTGTACGTTTTCATTTTCTATCTTTGTTGTGGAATTGTGTGTTAAATCAACTTGGAAAGCGTTGTCATCTGTTACCACTAGGATCTGTCATTTAATCTTAACAGTTATGACTGAAAAATATGTTAGAATCAAAGTACTGGTATTTTTTAATTTGTTGCTTGAGGTTGCTCTGAAGTCTTTTTGCACATGTTAAGTTGGGACTACTGTCTCCCCTAACTTGGAATACAGGCCACTGATTTTTCCATAAATGCTAACATTATGGTGGTTTTGTAATAAAACTCACTGTGAACTAGCTGGTAGCCCAGAGCAACGTTCTCCATGCTGATGAACAGGTTTTGTCAAATAAGAAATTAACTAAAGGGAATTCCCTGGCGGTTCTGTAGTTAGGACTTGGCTTTCACTGCCAAGGGTAGTAAGATCACACAGCCTGCTAAAAAGGTGTTTATGTATCTATTCTTATCTGTTGAGTGTTAAGTCTGGTGTTTGGAGTGGGAGAGAGGGTCCTCTAAATAAGTTGGTTTTAAAAACACCTGCATTTGAATATAGTTAAAGCATTAAATGTTCTTAATGAAATTTATACATATGATACTCCTGTATTTTTCTGATTCTGCTGGAGAATGAGGTTTCTTAGTACATTTTCCAGGTTTAAGTACAATTTAAAGAGTACCAGTGACTTGGGAGGCATGCGTTGTGAGAATACATTTCATACCTCCTGGTTCCTAATAAGAAGGGTTTACTTAATACAGGTTAGCTTTTTCTGTATTAGACTTTTGAGCAGCTGGCCATCTGTGGCGTAACACCTTTGTCCATGTGCGAAGGTGGCTCATGTTGCTTTGTCCTTTTAGAGTTCCTGGGTCCACCTTTTGTAGTTTTTTCCCTCTGTCCAGTTGTACCTCGTAGTGTTAATTAGCCTGCCCAAGCAACTACATCTTGTCTCATTTTGAGTTTTTGCTCTATCTACTTTTTATAGCACAAAATTTGTTATGTGATGCGTATCTTGGCCTGGAAATGGTTGTGTGTGTGAAGTATGAGTGGTTTAGTTATCTTAAGTTAGAAAACCTTGAAGTAGACTTTGAGAATTATCATTGTATCTTCCACGTCCTCGCTGCTGTTATCTACACTCCTGACATAGTTTACATGGATGATGTGATAGTTCTAATAGTTGCAGAAGCCAGCTATTTGTTACCCCAGCCCTTGTAGGGTTATGAAATACCTCACTTGGACTTGGCAGCCTTGTCTTCACACAGCCCTTGAAGTGAAAGTCGCTCAGTCATGTTTGACTCTTTGTGATCCCCTGGACTATACAGTCCATGGAATTCTCCAGGCCAGAATACTGGAGTGGGTAGCCTTTCCCTTCTCCAGGGGATCTTCCCAATCCAGGGATCGAACCCATCTCCTGCATTGTAGGCGGATTCTTTACCAGCTGAGCCACAAGGGAAATTGTCTGGAATTGCGTTTAATTCCCCTTTACTTACTTACACATGGTCATTTTATAAAATATTGTCCAGTTCTTGCTTAAGAATACTGTAAATTGCATTCAGATGTCACTATAGCAAGAAACTTGGTGGGAGCCCTTCTTGGAATCGGTAGAATGTCCCCTCCAACTTGTTGGCGGCTGCAGCATTTGATAACCTTTTTGTACAAATGAGCCAAGGCAGGAGGACGCTCCTTTGAAACGTTATCACAGGAGTTATCTTCTTGTGCTCTTCCAGAGTGATTTGGATGAACGATGAGCCTGCTCATCGAGCCGTCATTCAGGCTGGGGAGAGGGCGAGACGGGGGCTGTGCTTACTGAGGCCGGCTCCCCTGGCCTGGCGGGTGTGCCGCGTGCCCCTCGGTCCTCCCAGTGAGGCCTATCAGTTCTGCCGGCGTTCATCGCTTTACACTGATGCTGACAGAAGATCACACACTGTGTGTTTTTCTTGGGTAAAAGAAGTCATTAAATAAATGACTAAACATACCCGTTAAATACAGCATTTTGTGCTTTTTGTTCTTTGTATGATAGGAATAACATACAGTCTTGAGGATTAAATTTATTACTATGTGCAAAATACTTCAAATAGTAGCACCTGGCTTGTGTTTTTAGCTATTATTTTTTCAGAATCCTTCACACGTGTGTATTTCAGAATAGCATTCAGAGCTGTCCAGGAAAGTCTCCCCCGTCCTCACTCCCTTGTAAGGGAACTGCTTCCACTTTTAGCTCTTCTGTGTCTTTCTGTAGTTTCTTCCAGCAGATATTGTACACACACATTCTTTTCCAGCCACCCTGTTCTGTTCACGTGGTGCTGTTGGACTCGGCTTTCCCGCTCTGGACTCAGGTTTGCAGATTTAATCCTGTCTGGACGGCTATGCCGTCCTCTCCTGTGTCAGATGCAGCCCCCGGAGGTCAGCACTTAGGGAACGGCGCACAGTGAATCGCCCCGCGTGGTGCGCCGGTGCGTTCTCTCACGGGCACAGGTTAGCCTGGCCCGCTGTGTGCAGGTCCTGCCCAACAGCCCGCCATATGGGGGTCTGCCAGTTTAAAGATCCATCAGCAGAGTGAGAGTGCTGGTTTCCCTAGAGCCCAGCGACCCGAGTGTGTTAAACAACAGGCTTTGATCTTATTGATTGAATCAGTAAAAATGGTTTCTAGCACAATGTAATTTGCATTTCTCTATATGATTAAGAGATTTGTGTTTTGTTTTCTCTGAACTCTTTTTATCCTTTTGGCTTTGGTGGTCTTTTTGATATCTTGAAGTTCTTTATATACTCAGGGAATTAGTTTTTTTTGCGATGAGTTGCAGTGTTTTCTTTCCAGTTTGTTAAAAATCCTGTAGCAAACTTAAAAAACAAAAACACAAAACCTTTAGAAGTAGTTAAATCTATCATTTGGCTTTCCCTACTCCAAGATTTTAAAGGGAGTCTCACCTTTTTCCCTAGAACGTTTAGACTTTCTGAAAACATCTCTCCCTTTGATCCATTTGGTTTGCTCTGTTAGGATTTTGGCTCCAGCTCACCCCCATCTCCGGGACTGCTGTTTCCCACCGTTGTCAGCAGGTCCCTCTGGCGCTGCCCTGAGCTGCAGTCGGTCCTGGTCACCACAGGGGCTGGGCTCTGCTTCTGATCCGAGGGTCTTGTTCCTTGAGTCTGTCTGTTTGGTGGGTTTTATTCCGAGATCTCCTGGCCATTCTTGTTTTTCTATGTAAATTTTAGAATCAGTTTGTCTAAAGAGTCTAGGTGTGTTTATTGAAATCTTATTAAATTTATATTACCTAAGGTAAAACTCACATTTTAAAGTAAGGGTTCTATCTCACTGACTATCTGATGACTCTCCTTTTGTTCTTTCCTTTCAGATTTTCTTCCCGTAGCGCAAGTGAAATGATTGTTGCTGCTGTTTTTTGTTGTTTAGTTGCTAAGTCGTGTCCGATGCTTTTGCGACTCCGTGCACCGTCACTTAGTCCTGACTTAGTGACACCTTCTCTCTCAAGACCAGAGTGTGTGTGGGTGTACAGACACAGCTGTGTCTTCTTCTGTGAACTGTGGCAAAATATCAGTCTCTAAACCTAGCACGTACTGGAGGAGACATCCAGGCTCAAAGCCCGCACGTGCCTTTGGCTCATGATGACCTTATGTCTGGATTGATGTAACTCCTTCTCCTTACGTGACCTTCACCTTCCATGTGCTCAGCCTTTGTGTTGACATTTTAGGGGCCCTCACCCATGCCAGTCCAGGGTGAAATCAGTCATATGGTATCAGACTCTTATTCTGGGAAAAAGCAACTCACATACTTGACACGGGGACCTGAGCCTTGGATTTCCACTTTAAAAGCATAACTGTTTGTTTTTCCTTTCTCTTCCTTTCCTCATCAGTCTGTCGCCATTTCCCATTTAAGTTCTATGGATAGAAGTATGGCTTTTTACATATATATTTTGGAATAATTATTTCATGAATCTGTCACTTGTTTTTATCCACATTACTTTGCGTCGTGTGTGATGCTGGGTAGGGCTTTTCTGGTACTTGCCTTTGTGCTCTGAAGCCAGCGTCCCAGGTTGTCAGGTCCGGCTGCTGTGCTTTCATCCTTGGTTAGGGGACCAGTGTGCTGGAGTGTGAGTCTCTCTGGTATGTTATTTGGGCATCTTAAGTTTCAAACACTGTATCTTGCCAAAGCCATTTTATCTGACTACTGTTTTTCCCTGCAGAAAGTGCTGACTGCAGGCTCCCCCTGGGTTCTTGAATTGTGTGTGATTCATAGAAACTGACTTCCAAGGCTGTCCTCACTGTCTTTGAACCCAGGTTTTTAACAAGCGGTGTCCCAGTCTATTCCCTCATTTGACAAGCTAGGGGCTGACCTTTCTTTAGAAATCAATAAGTTGTAGGTGTCAGGATTCTTCTGGTGAAAAGAGGAAACTCATTTCTGTGTAGAGGATACATCAATTATTTCTATGGAGACATTAAAGACTCAAGTAAATGTTTATAATTAGGGCTCAGGTGTTCTGGGGGAGAGCTGAGGAAAATACATGGTGAGTATTCAGTAAGAGCGTGACGGAAGTTCCACAGTGTCCACCACGTGTTAGCAGAAGTGTGATGATGTGTAATTGCCTTTTTCCTTTGGAATTGGAGGAATGAAAAAGTAACTGTTTTACTTCATGTTTGGCTGTTGTCTGTTTATTCTTCAGCTTTTCACGCCACACCCAACACTTACAAGCGGAAGAACACGGAGACGGCCCTCGACAACAAGCCTTGTGGCCCCCACTGTTATCAGCACTTGGTAAGCATGTGCGGGGGGTTCTGGAGGGAGTGGAGAAGTCTGAATTTTGAATTTTCGTGAGGTCTGTGAAGTCAGTGGTAAGCTGTCATTCCCGTACTGCTACTGGCCATACAATAGGCAAGGTTTCTCAGCCACGGTTCTCGGTAGCTCGTACCTACTGCACATCCTAGTCCTTTGTTATCTTGCATTATTCTTTACCAGTGTCAGTCTCTTCAGCAGTGTGTGCAGGACTTAGGATCCAAGACTCTGGTACCTTCCGCCAACCTTAGACAGGAAGCGCAGAGCAGCCGCCCAAACCCCAGAAGCACAGTGGTTTCTGAGCCTTGCTCAGAGCCATCACCCTCCTGTCAGCTGTAGACCTGCTGTAGTTCAGCGTGTTATATGTAGGTCCCAGAGATGAGGGGTGTGTGTGTGTTTTTTTTTTTTTTGTAATGATGGAGAGAAGGTAAGGGTTTAGGAAAATATGAGTTAGGAAAGTTGTTTTTTATGGGTACTATCTTATTTTTACCATTTCCCCTCTTTGAACCAAGCCACTCCTACCTAGGAACTAAGTGGGTATATATTGCCTGTTGGATTTTGGACAGAAGATTCATTGAATGGCACCTACAGAAGGTATCCTATTTTTAAGCAATTTGGTTTTTGTAGAATGAAGTATAAAACTGTTGGCTGCTTTCAAACTTCTCCCTTCTATTGCCACTAAAAATGGAATTCTTGAGCACTGTTGTACAGTATTCTTTACAAGGCAGCATTTTATTTGGCTCATCTAAAGTGTGTCTGTGGTCTGTAGTCCATGGTCCTACCATTGCTGTGTACTTTCCGAGACGGGGTTATCGTGCCTGGCAGCACAGACTGTGACCCTCACTGCCTCTCCCTCAGGGTCCTTCCTTGTCTTCCTGGGGCCGTGCATCCCTCACAGGAAGAAAGGGGCAGAAGAGGGACGGATGGCTCATGTGTGCGTCCTGTATTCTTGTATACTTCAGACGCGACCGTAGAGGAGCGAGTGTTGGCTTAAGAAGTCCTGAGACAGGAAAGGCTGACTTTAGATGCACACTAGGTGTGTGACTCCTCTTAAAGTTCACTTTTTTAAATAGACTGTGTTCCCTAAAGTATATTCTGTATCTTAACTCATAATCAGTTAATACAGAACTGTCTCGCCTGAGTTTGTAGAAGCCATACTTATCTTTTTCAAATCTTCAAACCATGGAAAGCAGATAGGAAAACGATTGTCTTTAGATGTGACTGCCTGTGAAAAGCAGACACTGATAAGTCTGACTAACATGCTTACCCAGTCCTTTTCTTCCTCCTCTGCCAGAACGCATTGTAGAACTTGACTCTGATGTCTCCACTCTTGCTGTTGTAGGAGGGAGCGAAGGAGTTCGCTGCGGCCCTCACTGCCGAGCGGATCAAGACCCCCCCGAAGCGCCCGGGGGGCCGCCGGAGAGGCCGGCTTCCCAACAACAGCAGCAGGCCCAGCACCCCCACCATCAACGTGCTGGAGTCGAAGGACACGGACAGTGACCGGGAGGCGGGGGCCGAGACGGGCGGGGAGAGCAACGACAAGGACGAGGAGGAGAAGAAGGACGAGACCTCCAGCTCCTCGGGTGAGGCTCCGGGCGGCCCCGGTGGGCGCTGCGCGGGGGCCGGGTGCTCTCCTGAGCCGCTGGTTTTCAGCGCGGTGAGACGCCCAGGAGCAGAGCCGGCGGCTCCCTCCTCTCGCCTGTCTTGCGGTCCGTCCGGGTTATTTGAAGGTTGATGATCCAGTGTGTTTTCACACTCTGGGTCGGTTTCCTTTTGCAAGTTTTCTCAGGCAGGGCATAAAGAACTTTGATCATTCAGGTGACCATTCTTGATGGTCTGCGGGTGGGTGGCGTTGGTTAGGAGAAAGCAGCCCAACTCCTGACTAGTGCGTTCTCGGCTGTCCTTTGAGCCGTTTGCATCCTACCGTGACCAGCAGCTGTGGAACCCCGTTTGCTTCCATTTTAGAAGGTTGTGTTAAGGGGAGCCTGATCTCATGTGTCCATGGGGAAAAGCTTCCTGATAGTTTCTAGCCTTCATGTATTCCCACATATGATTCACTTTCTGTTTGCTGAAGCACACCCAAGCTCTGCATCCTAACACTGTTCTCTGACTGCCATTCCATGCCTCCCTCCCTCCCTTTCTCCACTTGCCACTTCCTGAGCAGTGCCTATTAACTTTGGTTTTGTAGAAGCGAATTCTCGGTGTCAAACGCCAATAAAGATGAAGCCCAACACAGAGCCCCCCGAGAACGTGGAGTGGAGCGGCGCTGAGGCCTCTATGTTCAGGGTCCTCATCGGCACCTACTACGACAACTTCTGTGCCATCGCCAGGCTCATCGGCACCAAAACGTGTCGGCAGGTGAGCGTGGCTGGGAAAGGTAACGGCAGAGACCTTCAGACGGACAAGTGTGTGGTCACTGTCCAGCCTAGGAACGTTCCTGGTTATTAAGTTCCTGTTCATCTGAAAAGAACTTTTTTTTCCACTGAGAGGGAACTGAAAGAAATAAGTCTTGACTTTAGATGCTGCAGGTAGGTGGCAGTGGGTTTCAAAAACCCACAAGAATTTAGATGTAGCCTTGTGACTCTTGGGGCTTCCCTGGTGCCTCCGCTGGTAAAGAACCCACTTGCAGTGTGGGAGACCTGGGTTCAATCCCAGGGTTGGGAAGATCCCCTGGAGAAGGGCAAGGCTACCCATTCCAGTATTCTGGCCCAGAGAATTCCATGGACTGGATAGTCCAGGGGGTCGCGAAGAGCTGGACACGATTGAGCGACTTTGACTCGTGACTCTTAAACAGAGAGTGACCTCAGCAGCGCCAAGGGACAGCCGAGCAGAGCGTGTGTGTGAGTGAGCAGGAGACCCGTGTGCTCACAGACGGTCCTCACGGCCTGTGACTCTGCCTCCTGTCAGGTGTATGAGTTTCGAGTCAAAGAATCCAGTGTCATCGCGCCGGCCCCCGCTGAGGACGTGGACACCCCTCCCCGGAAGAAGAAGAGGAAACACCGGTGAGTGTGCCGGGGGGAGGTCGGGGCTGGCCCGGCCGGCTTCCTCGGGCCGTTGCTGCCATTTTTCTGTGAGGCCCAGTGGCTGTCCGTAGGTTTGGTGTGTTGAGTCATAGTCAAGGTTCCATTTTCGTTTCGGAGAACTATTTGATAGCCTCTGCAGTAAAGGCACGAGCGTATGTGGTGTGTCTTGGGAGCCTGTGAGCTCCAGAGCCAGTTCCCGCTCCAGAGCCCGGGTGTGCCAAGTGTGTGGCATTGACTCAGGTACTCTTCACGGCCACCCCGCTGTCAGCCCGGCGGAGCAAGTGACGGTGCAGTGAAGGCGGCAGGCCGACCCCTGTCCACGGAGACGGAGAGTCCCTGGATGCACTGTTGAAACCCTTCCAGGGTTTTTAGAAGCATAGCTGGGTGTCGGGTAAGGGAACACTTAGATTATACCTCACAAATCGTCTGCGTGTTCATATTACATTTTTTTGATACGTAATTTAATAATTTAGCTTTAGTAGATACGTTTGCCTTGTTTGTTTGGATTATTTCTGCCCAGATAGCTCAGTTGAAATGATTCGACTGGAAATTAGAGTGTGCGGTGTTAGTACCCTCTGCAGAGAGCGGACAGCGGCACGCGGCGGGCGCTGCTGCAGGACGCCCGGGTCACCAGGGTCTGTCATCTGCTTGTGTTTTGCAGGTTGTGGGCTGCACACTGCAGGAAGATCCAGCTGAAGAAGGGTCAGCATCTTCCCGTTCAGCGTCCTTGGGAACGCGCTGTCTCCTCCTCGTGTGTCTTAGAATAGTAACTGGGTTAGAGTTTGGGATGTTCAGATAGAGCTGACTCTGTGCCTTAAACCAGTTTAGATTGGAGGCCTTCTGGTGGCTAGAGAACTGGGAGCCTGACTGAGATGTGACGGTGCCCGGGGCCCCCTGGCTCTTGGCGGGCGGGGGGTGTGTAGACGGAGAGTGAGGTGGACATGGCGAGGACAGCCCTGAGCTCAGGTCACGGGGGGAACATGTGCCTGTTGGGCGTGTGGTCACCTCACAGCGTTCGGGACTGACGCGGTGCTCTTGTCTGTGCAGACGGCTCCTCCAACCACGTTTACAACTATCAACCCTGTGACCACCCGCGGCAGCCTTGCGACAGCTCGTGCCCTTGTGTGATAGCACAAAATTTTTGTGAAAAGTTTTGTCAGTGTAGTTCAGAGTGTAAGTACTTGTTGTCTTGATGTCATTGCGTGAGAATTAAATTGACTGTTGGTCAGGAATTTAAAACTAACTTCAGTCAACACCAGGGCATCATGGCAACCCCTGCGTTGTTTCCATTGGGAAGCTCGCTCCCACCACAAGCCTGTGTGGGGCCAAGGATCAGTGTCCAGCCCGCCTCCTGCTGAGGCAGGTAGGCGGGCAGGTGAGGCCAGCGTGCATTAAAAGAGCTTTGTACTGTCTTTGATCATTTAACTTTTAAATCATAGTAAAGTTGGCACAGAATGGAAGGCAAATCTAGAAATGGCTTCCCAAATACTTTCTGGACACTAGAGATTATTATGAGTTAGATGGGTTCGGTCTTCAGAGTGAAGGATGTAGTGGCATCCGGGTGAGGACGGTAACTGTGCACTGAAGCCTGGACACCAGGGAGGCCCCTAGAGCCCTGACTGAGAGCGGCTGGGGAGCCCGGGTATCACGCGGTCCAGAGCCCGCCTCGCTGCGCGTAATCGCTGCACTGTAAGTACGCAGAGCGCCTCTCACACCAGTGGCGGCGTCCGCGTGGATGGCTCTGACGTCCCGCTCGCTTCCCCTCCCGTGCGACGACGGTGGGAGAGTGAGGGGCCGTGCAGGCTCGGTGAGGCCGCTGGGCCGTTCTCCCCTGACGGGGCGTCTCTCTGAAGGTCAGAACCGCTTTCCCGGCTGCCGCTGCAAAGCCCAGTGCAACACGAAGCAGTGCCCGTGCTATCTGGCCGTCCGCGAGTGCGACCCCGACCTCTGTCTCACCTGCGGCGCGGCCGACCACTGGGACAGCAAGAACGTGTCCTGCAAGAACTGCAGCATCCAGCGGGGCTCCAAGAAGGTAGGAGGGTGCTGCACGCAGGGCCTAGTCATCCCAACCGGGGGGTTGTTGCTGAGCGTAAGAAACGAACAGCACTGCTGGGTTAGTTGTCTCAGGTTTTTAGGGGAGGCGATGACAGTAAAATGACCCTGATGCTGGGAAAGGTTGAGGGCAGGAGGAGAAGGGGACGACAGGGGATGAGATGGTTGGATGGCATCACCGACTCGATGGACGTGGGTTTGCTGGTGCTGGACAGGGAGGCAGGCGTGCTGCGGTCCGTGGGGTCGCAGAGACATGACTGGGGGACGGAACTGACAGTGCAGGCCCTGGTCTGAGCGCTGTGTGCGTTAACTGCTTCGTCGTCCTGACCCCATGAATTAGGAATAATCACTAAACCCAGAGTTCTGAGATTCAGAAGGAGAAGAGCTGGGCTCCGAGCAGGCGTTCATCTTTCTAGACATCTTTTCCCTCCTCAAACAGAAAACTGTGTAGATATCTTTTTCCCAATTAGGTTTCATTTGCTTAACAGTATCTTGCTGGTCAAGGAGGTACTTGGTTAACTGCCCTGACAGGCCCTGTAGGCCCGGTCAAGCACACCTTAGGAGCTTGGGGATCAGGGAGTCTCCTTTAAAGACATAAGAAATGTGGAATGAAAGCATGATAGTCAGCCTTGATGAAAAGGTAGGGCCTCGGGCTTCGTTCCCAAACAGTCTGTCTGTAAATTGACGGCGGTGATCACCTTGGCGCCAGCTGAGCCCAGAGTGCTGGCCCTGGGCTTCTGTGCTGTCGTGAGGAAGGGCTGTGGAACAGTGCTCTGGAAGGAGGGAGGGGTAGAGCGCTGACCCACCAGGAGGGGCGGCGACTGGGCCCGGGGCAGGTGGAGGGGGCGCAGGCGGCCTGCGTCAAGGCTGAAGGATGGCTGGCGACACACATGCGGACCAGCTCAGCGACACCGTTTTCCTCTGAGGCAGACATTTAGGCTCTGTACTGGGTTTACAAAAAAAAAAACAAAATGTGGCTTCTGCAGCTTGTTGGCCCCTCTGGTCATACAGGGGACGCTGACTCCCACACCCATCTGTGGCTGAATCACCTGGTTCATCCTGTGGTCTGATCTGTCCAGCCTCATTCTCCTTTGATTACGATTTTGTTTATTCTTTAGCATTTACTGCTGGCACCGTCTGATGTCGCAGGCTGGGGGATCTTCATCAAAGACCCTGTACAGAAAAATGAATTCATCTCGGAATACTGTGGAGAGGTAAGGCCGGGCCCCCCCAGTCAGTCACAGACAGCGAGATGTCCACTGTGTTCACGTGGTATCACCTGTAATATGCTTTGGACTGATTTTCATTGGGCAGGTCCACTGGGTTTGATTAGAAATGAATATAAAGTGCCTTTTCAGCTTAGACTTGTGGGTTTGGTTTGCTTGAAAGCTACATTGCTTCAGTCCTGGTCACATTCCACTTTTTATCACCCAGGAGAAAGAGGGGAGAACAAGAGCTTTATGACGACGAGTCTCTTCTGTTTAATCCGTAGCTTAACTGATAAACTAAAGCATCCTTTCTAGGTTGTTAATTTAGGGCAAACCCTGGGGCTGGCTGCATCTGGTACCAAGTAAAGAGACTCAGGTTACTCATATTCTCCAGGCAGTTACTTTAAAGCTGTGGAAGTTTTTCTAAGAGTCCTTAAAACCACCACTGTTCTCTGACAAAGAGAAACTGGCCAGTGACCCTCTCTTGAGTGTTGTGAAGGTCCTGAACGTTTCAGATGAGCTGGGTGTGTTCTGCCAGGCTCACCTGATCCTGAATCACCTCACCCCGTGTCTGTCTTTTCAGATTATTTCTCAAGATGAAGCAGACAGAAGAGGGAAAGTATATGACAAGTACATGTGCAGCTTTCTGTTCAACTTGAACAACGGTACGCTGGGGGGTCGGCGCCCCTCTGCTTCCCAGGCCGCACCTCAGGGGCTGAAGCAGCAGAGATGACATGAGCCGTCCCCGGCGTCAGCTGTTTGAAAGGGGCTGGGCTTAGGAATAGGCTGATTGCTGGAAGGCGTCCCTGGGGGCTCAGCTGGTAAAGAATCCACCTGGAGTGCAGGTGACCTGGGTTTGATCCCTGGGTCGGGAAGATCCCCTGGAGAAGGAAATGGTACCCACTCCAGTATTCTTGTCCAGAGCATTCCCTGGACAGAGGAGCCTGGTGGGCTACAGTCCATGGGGTTGCAAAGAGTTGGACACGACTGAGAGACTTTTACTTCCCCCCAGGTTTGCAGAGTGTAACTTGGGGAGTGGGTGGTCACGGGTTCTGTGTGCAGAGAGTGGTCACTGTCCAGAGAGGGGGGCCCGCGGTGGCCCGGGCTCTGAGCCATCCTTGGCTCCACAGCCTGGCTCTCCTGCGTCCCTCCTGCCTCAGATACCACTCGGCACCTCTCACCTGGGAGGGCCTGGAGCCCTGCCCTGTGAAGCACCTCCTCAGCTTCCCTGAGGGTCCCGAGGATGGACAGGGACACGTGCGTGCAGACCCTGATCCTAGGGGAGGACATCAGGGTAGCTGGGTCCCTGCTTCACACCCGTGCTACTCGGGGCGGGGGGGGGGGGGGGTCTCGCCACTGAAACAGGTGGTCTTCATGTTCCATAACCAGTAACATGAAAAAAACTAATTTGAAGATATCTATGATGTTGGGAAGAATCTCTTTTTAACCTAGGGCAGCATTTTCTTCCAGAGGTCATTTCTTACCAGGTGAACTTGGTTGAATGATTTACTTGCTTTTGAAAGCAAACTCTAAAGAACAATAACCACTTATATTTTTACAGAATCATAATAACCTTGTATTTATTGACTTAAAACTAATTGTTTGCTAGGTTATGCTTATTTTTTTCTCTTTAGATTTTGTGGTGGATGCAACCCGCAAGGGTAACAAGATTCGTTTTGCAAATCACTCAGTAAATCCCAACTGCTATGCAAAAGGTAGGTGCTCCGAGGTGGGCAGAGTCCCCGCAGGGCGTCCTGAGTGGTTCTGGGCTCCTCTCCCGACTGTCAGCTCCTCTCCTGGGTCGTTCTCACCGATGTCTTGAACCCATGCCTCTCTTTGCAGTGATGATGGTCAACGGCGATCACAGGATAGGGATTTTTGCTAAGCGAGCCATCCAGACTGGTGAAGAGCTGTTTTTCGATTACAGGTTGGTTTCTAGTATCTGAGGGCTTTTCTTCCGGGACGCTGAGCTCTGGCCAGAGGCCGGCTTCCGTCGGGCTGGTGATTTGCCACAGGTGGTGCTGGGGGCTAGGGTGAACTGTTGGGTAATGGCGTTTTCAGGATAAAGTCATGCTTTCTGAACGTTCAAAAAATGCAGAAAGCTCCATTTTTACCTTCAGGGTCCATGCCTGCTGTCAGGGTGCTGAGCACAGGTTCCAGGGGATTGCTTATGCTGCTGGGCATCCGGCTAGCATTTTATACTGTCAAGTTCTGGGGAAAATTGACAAGTTATAGAATATTTAAATGTAGTCAGAGGAATGTTTAGTTGAACAAATCCTGTGGCTCACTATACATCTCATGGAGAAGCTTGGTATTTTGTGTAGAACTGTCTTAAACTGGGGCCTGTGTGGAGCTGTTTCCAACCCAGATCTTCCCAGGAGGAGCAGCCGGGGCACCTAGGGCTCACCCAAGGGCAAGAGTCTCAGGCATCTCTTCTGGCCTCTGTGCTGTCCTGGCTTCAAGGGGCCCGTGGCCGGCTCTGGCCCGCTCACTAAGGTGCTCTGCGCCCCCTGTGTTTGGCCTCAATACCAGCCCCCTGCGGGCCTGCCTTCCCAGGCCGTTGGTTTCAGGGGCAGAGGGCTGGCTGGGGAAGGGGTGTTATTGCCAGTTCTGTCCAGCTTGGCCCCTCTGTAGCTGAAATGTTTGCACCCCTTCTGCGAAGGCGCCTTTGTGCAGCCAGCAGTAGCGGGCTCGTGTGTGCTGTGCTGAGTGGGCTGGGTCTCACTCTGCGCTGGCTCACCTGTTCCTCCTGCTGTTTCAGATACAGCCAGGCCGACGCCCTGAAGTACGTGGGCATCGAAAGAGAAATGGAGATCCCTTGACGCGTGCTACCTCCTCCCCCCTCCTCTCGGAACAGCGGCCTTAGCTTCAGGAACCTCGAGTACTGTGGGCGATTTAGAAAAAGAAAATGCAGTTTGAAATTCTGAATTTGCAAAGTACTGTAAGAATAATTTATAGTAATGAGTTTAAAAAAATCAACTTTTTATTGCCTTCTCACCAGCTGCAAAGTGTTTTTGTACCAGTGAATTTTTGCAATAATGCAGTGTGGTACATTTTTCAACTTTGAATAAAGAATACTTGAACTTCTCCTTGTCATAGTCATCTGTTACACCCTCTCCAACTGGTTTTAGAAAAGGACTGAGTGATGGGAAAAACTTCACCCCTTTGGTTTGTCAGAAGCCATCCTGGGAATCTGGGTATAACACGTATTGCCTGTATTAGGCAAATTAATAAATACTATTGCAAACATGTTACCATACACCATACATACCGGCTAAGGAGACAAGGACACAGTAAGCGATCACTGCTCGCGTCCGAGACCCGGGTGGATGGGGCGTGTCCCCGGTGCTAAGAGGCCTGCAGGTTCCCGCCCTCTGAACCTCGTTCTCCAAAATGACAGAAGATTCCTGCGAACGATCTAGCGCTAAATCCCACTAGATACAGCCCTTCAGAAATGTGACGGGGACAACCAGACTACTTCTAAATCTTGATGGAATAAGACACCCTTAATGTCCCGGGAAGCTGCTCCTCAGGCTGGGCGGTGGTAGGAGTGCCCAGGACGGCAGCATTCACCAAGTTTTCATTGATTTATAACATGAATGGGACGCTCAGAACACCTTCCTTTCCAGTTATGCAAACATGCACAAGGCTGGTTTCTGCCGCCTCGACGCACAAGCCAGTGAGCTGAGTCCTGGGATACAGTTCATTCACCTTGGCCTGACAGTGAAAAAGACACTTGTGTGTCTCCTGTGTCCCCTCAGCTTCCCTGCAACCTGCTGAGACACCTGGTCTCCGCACTCCACCCAGGAGGCGTCGCTGACCAATTCGGGGAGAGTCACCCCCCGACTGCCACATCCCACCCTTGGCATGCGGCCCCCATGAAGCCCGTTTGTTCCCCGTCATGTGACCAGAGACCGAACTGCAGCAGACAGCAGCTGTCCCTGATGGAGGGCAGGGCTTGGGAGCACCGCCCTGTGTGTGCGCTTCGCACACCGTGGGCTTTCATTCCTCGACTAGCAGCGTACCTCCAGGAACCGGTCCACTGACCTCACGGATGCAGAGATCCTGACCAGAAATCCTGGGCTGCAGCCATGGCCACATCCCACGTGATCGAGAGCATCCTTAGCTTGTCAGCTTGACATTTTCTTTTACCTGGAATGGGGGGGAGAAAGGAGAGCTTGACACAAGGTGTTCAGTTCACACAGAACACCAAGTTTAAGTATGTGCTCTTTTCTCTTCCCCTTGCTCTCCCACCGAGGTAATAACCGACAGTGTGAGCCTGGCGGGTTTAGTTCCCCAACAGAACCAGGAAGGATGAGTGGAATGAGTTACCACATCAGGATATGGATGCAGTCACGGTTGCCATGGTTTAGGAAGGTCAGACCTTGTCCACTGAAAAGAGCCCGACAACAGGCTGCCCAGCTGGTCAGCATCTGTGGTCCCTAAGCCTTTCCCCAGTGGTCATGAAGACCCACACGTCTGACCACAGTCCTGACGTCCAAGTACAGGCAGCACCTCAGACTCCGACTAACTGCCGCAGGCTAACTTGAAGATGCCATCACACCGTTCTGCATGACAAAAGTTTCAACATTTTGCAGTTTATAAAAAAAAGTATTCCTCTACCTAGAAACTGCTTCCTAACTATCTCTCAGTATTGTCTGGGTCACTCAACCTCCAGACTTCAGTGTCCAGTCAATGACTCCAACTCTGGATTCCCACCTCTGCCCAAGGTGTTCAACTGCCCCACCACTGCCAAAAATCAACGCACAAATTGCGTCATTTGGATTTGTAGGTTGCAGGTAGGATCTTCCGGACCCAGGGATTGAACCCAGGTCTCCTGCATTGCAGGCAGATTCTTAACCATCTGAGCCACCAAGGAAGCCCACTTTCAGATTTGTCGGTAGGTCGTCAAGAAAGGTTTCAAACGTGGACATTTTGCAAGAACCTAAGTATTCCATTAGAGGGCTTCCCTGGTGGTTCAGCTGGTAAAGAACCCGCTTTCAATGCAGGAGACCCTGGTATGAGTCCTGGGTCGGAAATGTTCCCCTGGAGGAGGGCATGGCAACCCACTCCAGTATTGCCTGGAGAATCTCTATGGACAGAGGAGCCTGGTGCGCTACAGTCCACGGGATTGCAGAGTCAGACATGACTAAGTGTGCACATGCACACACACACACACACTCTGCTGGAAATTGCATGGGCTTTGGGCTCTTACCAGAATAAGCTCAAATCAACACTTGTGTCTCCATCCTCTGTTACAAATGATCCAGGGAGGGGTGTGTGTAGTACCTGGTATGAGAAGTGGTCCAACACATCTAAGTCACACAGCTTTTTGTATGTGAACCAAAGCTCCATAAAGAAGTTTTAGAAAACTGTCCTCACCTATCTTGACCAAGTCATCATTCTGCCTCTAAAGAGATGAGGTTCATGTGTATAGAATCAAATCACCCAGACAAGTTGTTGCCATTCCTAAAAAACAAAACAAAAAAAAGGTCTTCATTTTATTTTTTTTAAGATTTACATAAGGGGGATTTTCTTCAAATGAGTCAGCACATTTGATTTTTTTAGCTGGGTGTGGCAAAATCTTGTATTTCTTTTCAAAGGAAGATTAAGATACCTCAATGAATAGGTAGGCCATCTTAAAATACTCAGTAAAAATATTTTAAATTCAGGTGCCTCTCGACCCTTTATCTCCTGCTGTGGTGTCCCTGGCTGCCTCTTACAAAGGCGCTTGACCAGTGACGGCTGGCAGTCTGCCTCTAGGCAGGCGCGAGGCTTGACCCATGAGAACCCAGCCTGGGAGAGAGGGGGTCCTGGCCCTGGGCTCTACCTTACCTGCCCCATCCTAGGAGAGAGGAGATGGTTCCGTCAGGAGGCAGCACCATAGCGACTGTCCGGAACAGTTTTCTTTCAGTGGACCAATCCCTGTGGGTTATGCCAAGGCTGCCACCCACCACCCTCCCCCAGGGCGTGAACTTCCCAGAGGGCCTGGGCACTAGGCGCCCTTCAGAAGCTGGACGTCGGTCCCTAGGCAGATTCAGAAAGCTACTATTTAAGTTCGGAAAAATGCAGCTCACTGGATGCCGGGGAACTCGACCCTCATGGCTTGTATTTGGAGGCCTGGCCGTTCTTGTTAGGCTAGGATGTGGTTTGTGGAATGAAGGCACGAAGTCTGGAACTGTATTCCACACCCATTAAACAGGACTCACCCAGTGTGAGGGGGTCAGGGTGGGGGGCATGTAGAGGGGACCTCCCACCACCCACCTCCAGTCCGCCTTTGCTCACGGACGTCCTCGGTCTTCTCACCAAGGACACTCTTCGTCCTGGAGGAACTCGAGAGACGTCAGAAAAGTCTCATGAAGAGGTGCCTTCCCTCTTGAAGGGGAGGGTGGGATGAGTTGAGAGAGTAGCATCAGCACAGATACCCCACCGTGTGTGGGACAGCTGGCGGGAAGCTGCTGGACAACACTGGGAGCCCCACTGTGGCCTCTGTGACGACCCAGAGGTCCTCCCTGGAGGGGTCGGACAGGGGAGGGTTGGGGGGGAGCGCAAGAGGGAGGGGGTCTATATCTGATTCACTTTGTTGTGCAGCAGAAACGAACACAATATTGTAAAGCAATTATCCTTGAGTTAAAAAAAAAAAAAAGACCATGAAGCTCTTTATTATGTGATCTGGCAACCCCACTCCTGGGCATGTATCTGCAGAAAACCATAATCTGAAAATGTACCTGAATTCCAATGTCCACTGAAGCACTATTTAACAGTAGCTGGGACCGACATGAAGGCAACCTAAATGTCTATAAGTAAATGGATAAAGAAGTTGTGGTACCTAGACACAATGGAATATTATTCAGCCACATAAAAAAGAACAAAATAATGCCATTTGCAGCAACATGGACAGATTTAAAGATTGTCATGCTAAGTGAAGCCAGAAAAAGACACACTGTATCATATAGAATCATTCACATGTGGAAATCTTAAAAAAAGGTACAAATGAACGTATCTACAAAACAAAGAGTTAGAGATGTAGAAAACAAACTTACGGTGAGGATGGGGTGAGGTAGGGGAGGGATGAATTGGGAGACTGGGACATAGGCACACTGCCATCTATAACACCGATAACTAACAAGGGTCTCCTGTACAGCACAGGGAACTCAATACCCTGTCATCACCTGTATGGGGAAGAATCTAGAGTGGAAACAGGTGTAACTGAATCACTTTGCTGTATACCGAAGCTAAAACAACATTGTAAATCAACTGCACTCCAATAATTTTTTTAAAAAAGCAATTTACCTTCCTACTCTTGCTGGGACTCAGACCCAAGCGCAGCAAGCGGCTGCGGGGATTTACAGCGCGTCTGTCCCAGGGGCAGGTGGACTGTTGCCAGGAGAGGCAGAGCTGTGGTCTCAGCTCCCAGCCGGAGATTCGCAGGGCAGTTTCTAGGTGGTCCTTGGAGCCTCAGGACACTACAGGCTCTGCTGGTGGTGGGGGTTCCCCGGGGAGGGGGTGGGGGGTGGGGGGTGGCACTGTTTTTTGCCTGGTGTGTACACTGGAGCTCTTTATATGACTGTTAGAAAAAAGAAGATATACTAAAACAAATATGGAAACCGTTAGACAACTGCTTAAGTCTATTACTCAATAACCCGTTTAACTGTTAAATTGTAAAAAACTAACCTGTTAGGTGCCAGGTTGGTCCAAAAAAACTGGAAGGACGTAGTAGCTTGGGTGTCTTCCTCTGGCCCTGCTTTCAGAAGCAGGCCTCAGGGCAGGTAGAGATGGCACAGGTGTTGACAAGCATGTCCACGCCTCTGGTCTGGAGAGCCACGCGTGGTTTGTACGGACCAGGAAGCCCAAAGACTAAACCTGCCCGGGGCCTCTGCTCCCACCGCCCGTTCCATCTGTCTTCAGGCTGAGAAGTGACCGCACAGGGCTGCAAGCCAACCACCCGGACCACAGATGAGAAGTCAAAATGGGCCGGAGGCGAAAGGGAGGTGCTGGCGGTGGACGTGGCCCCTGAGCCCGACTGGGGACGAAGGCCCGTGACCAGCGGCCGCCCTTCCAGGGAGGCGGCCGGCTCAGCCCGGCGAGCACTACGAGGGTCCGCAGGGAGGCTCCTGGGCGTCGGTCGCTGGAGGCGGTCACGGGAATGACGGCCAACGCTCCAGGAGGAGAAGGCGAGCAAGGGCTTGGTCGGACAAAGCTTAACCGGTGTTCCCTCTCGGGAGGGCGGCCCTCGGGGCCTCAGGAAAACACCAGGGAAGGCCTGTTTGCACAATCATTATATCTTTTATTTACAGATAGAAATTAGTAAAACTTAAAACAAAAACCCAATGCGACTTGTACAGAAATCCTTTAATTTTCTTTATTTTCACACATTAAAAAATGAAACACACTATACAAATGGTTTTCTCATAGCAGATTACACGTGGGTCCCTTCAGACCCGCTCTCCAGGACTGCCGGCCTCCGAGGGGCCCCGGCCGGCAGCTGGGGCTCGCGTGGCCAATGGTTGATTCGGATGCAGACGCATGCAGCCCTCGGCGCGGGAGGTCCCCCACTCCGGTCTTAAATTAGGTTAAATGGCGTCGGTGTCCGTATGTACAGACGTGAAGTGTGGCGGTCCTGAGCAGCTCCGGGGCCCGTGCGCGGGGGCCTGGGCCTGGGGCCGGGCGGGCGTCCGGGGGCGCGGCCGCCACGCTCGGGGCTGCCGGGCCTGCAGCCGAGGGGCCGCGCCCGCGCTCAGACCCCCGGGTCAGGCCAGGTAGCTGTACGTGTCCTTCTCCCCGTCCACTCGCTCCAGATACTCCTTCTCGATCAGAATGTCGATGCATTTCTGGGCGTGGGTTCCGAGGAGGGAGAGGCCGTGAAGGGGAAGAAAAACACACTTACCGTCGGAACAGAGACGGATTCTCCCACCCCTCCCGGGGGTGGCGCCCCCGCGGGGCCGGCCCCGCAGGGGGCGCCGTCTGACTTCCCGCAGCGCCCCCCTCGCTCTGGGGCGCCTCACCCCAGGGTTTCCCACCGCCCCCCTCAACCTGCCAGTCTCGGGTCTCAGAAGGGGAAGGAGCCGCCCGGTTTCTGTGTGAAACGACCCTGGGGGTCGTCGTCCAGGGGCTGCAGGCCCCCCCAGGGGCCCCGAGAGGAGCCACGTCCGCAGGGACGAGCCTCCTGCCGGGCTAAGCACACGCAGGAGGCTCCCGGGCGGGCGCCAAAAACTCCCGGCCACTGTTCACTCCGAGCAGCTCAGCAAGCGGAATGCTGAGGATTTTCCACGTCTCAAAATGACCGTTTCAGAATTTGGCCTGTTTTCTTTTGTGGAAACCTATTTTACGTGGGCTTCCCTGGTGGCTCAGAGGTTAAAGCGTCTGCCCCCAATGCAGGAGACCGGGTTCGATCCCTGGGTCGGGAGGATCCCCTGGAGAAGGAAATAGTAACCCACTCCAGTATTCTTGCCTGGAGAATCCCAGGGATGGAGGAGCCTGGTAGGCTACAGTCCACAGGTCGCAAAGCGTCAGACATGACTGAGCGACTTCACTCTCACTTTTCATTTTACGTGACTAAGCCAAACTCCTCCGTGACAGTCACCGCCTCTTTTGTCTCCTGAGATAATAATCATCTGAATCCTGCTGCTGGGGGATCCTGTACCTTAATTACTGGGACCCGGGGCTTGAATCTTGAGGACAGCTGAGTCAGGACTTCTCCCAGTAACTGCTGGTGTTTGAGGACCTTCCTCATTTTCATAATTCTCACAATAGCCGCCTGTGTGACCGAGGAAAGAAAGAACTTGTTTTCCACAGCGTTAACCAGAACTTGTCTGTAATGAGGAGGAGCAACAAGCCTGCAGGGGCGCTCTGTGTGGAAGACCGGGTTCCGAACAGGGAACAAACACTGCAGGTCCGAGGACGCAGGGGGCCAATTCTATCTGCTGGTTTCGGCGCCAACACAACAAACATTAAAGTGTTTCGGTCTCGTGAGCAGCAATTTTAATAATTTACCCCAACTAGAACACACTTTTAAAATGAGGAAAAACTCAGACCTTAAAGCCACAGACGGCACCTTAGGCCCCCACAGGACGACCCCCCCCCCCCCCCCCCAGTTTCGTGAACGCACTGCTCTCATCTGTTTCATCGGTCATCTCACCTACTCCACCCAGAACCATCCATCATCCAGGCCACCTCTCCCAAGTCCCAGCAGCACACAGCCCAAGGGAAGTGCCCGCCAGCTGTGGGTGGCCTGCCTGCCGCGCGAGGGGCTGGGCCCCCAGGGTCACCTGGATCAGTAGTTTGCGATCTTCCTCGATGTTTTTGTGTGTGGTTTCCTGTTCCTGCTTCTGTTCTGTTTTCATTGGCACATTGATGTTAACCCTTAATTTTTTGCTGTCAAGAAAATCGAGGAGACCAATCACTATTGCTTTCAAAGACATGCAGTAAAGGCTGCTTTCTGTTTTCGGTCATAAAGAGGTGCTCTGTCCCC